CGAGTTCGTGGGAGGGGGGGGGCGAATGACGCCCCCCCCCCCCGGCCCGGTCCCACCTTGCCCAAAAAAGCCCGGTCTAGATAGGGTTAATCAATATTTATATTATTAACACTGAAACTGCAGAACCACATATACATAACGTATCAATACCATTTGCAATACGTGACGTTTGTTTGTCATACGTATTGACCAGTAAACGTGACGTATAGACCCAAAACCGTGACGTTTTTACGTCCGAAATTTTGGCACGGAATGATGCCATGTATAATACGTTATGTCAACGTCAACGTAACGATGACGCAAACCTACGTTGACATAACATTTGGTATAAACTTGAAACGTGACGTTTATAAACACCCGAACCGTAAGTTATTTTGACATGAAAATTCCAGTACGTATCAGTACCTCACGTATAAATGAAACGTACATGACGCATAGACCGAAAATGTGACGTCCGTAATTTTGGTACGGAAATTTCAGAACCATATGTACGTAAGGTTTCCGAGCGTTTTGACGGTGACGTGTGGCCTAGATAAAACAAAAAAAAAAACGTGACGTATACACCAAAAAACCTAACTTTTTACGTCCGTAATTTCGTCACGGAAATCATGCCATATACATACTTCGAATTACTAAGAACTGTTAAATGAATTGATGAATGGTACATGACGACAACAAATCATAAGTACGTTACCCAGAGAATCTCCCGTACCTAATGAAGCCCAGTAAGTTGCGGAGAATCCAGACCTTGTCACCTTCGCATCCGATATGAAAACTACCGACAGGTCGCGGGAAGTGTAGTTGGTCTTAGGCAGTTTCTCCCCACAGAGCGTTTTCCCTAAAGTTAAAGAAGACAGTATTAATGCTTGACCAAACACAGTTTTGACATTATTTCTACAATTCAGGTATCTACGGGTTTTGTTTTCATGTTATTTTGCTATCGTCAATTTTTTACATGTTCTTTTCTTTGGCCTTTTGAAAGTCTGTGACCAAATGCATGGATAATATCAGCTTTCAATTCACAGACATAATCTAAAAATAATATTAGGATTTTCAATTTCTTCTTGATGTTTCTGTATTATCTAAATAATTTTGATATTTGATATATAAAAGGAACTGAACCAAAAGGGCATACCTATCAAATCGTTGTTATGGTCATACACAGCAACAGAGTCCCAGGAACAATTCCCGCTAAAGTTGGGCCTTTCCAGATCAAAATGGTCGAACGTCAAGTATACCACATCATCAGGCAAAGTAGCTTCAATCCTCCACGTTCTATTTGTATTGTCTGCAATGATGTAAAGATTCACATATTTCAATTCCTGTTTTGTCACTATATGTATCGGCATTCAGACAATGCGGGCAATAACATGCATATAAAATCATCAGCCGTATATCATGATTTGCTAATAAACATAATTCATATATCTAATCATAGTCTAATTTGCATAATTCATGAAAGATCGGTAAATTTGATGAACTCAGTGAGAACAAGAGTTCCACGATCTCATACCTTCGCCAAATAATGTTTACCCACCCGGTTGACGAATTATACAATTTTAATGATTGATTTCGCAAATGAGAGTCTCATTTTCATGGATTATATTAGTTGATCATATTATCCTAACAAAAATGGCTATTCTACCACGTCATCAAATATTATACAAATGACGTCATGATTTGAATGAATCATGTTTGTTGATGTTCACATTCAACGTCCAAATGCGCTCATACTCAAAGTATAAAATTCCCAGCAGTTACAACTATGAAATTTTGACAATTTCCCATTAACAATGCAAATTACGTCTTATTTACATAATCTATTTCCTCAGATGTTTTCTCGTTCTCAATTTCATGTTACAACTGCTTCATAGTCCTATAATTATCGATCGAAGCAGATCTGTGGAGTATCTTCATTAATTACGCAAATTGGCGCCAGATTTGCAAAATTTTCTTCAGATTATGGCAAGCATCACTTCAGCTACCTACCAAAAATCACGATAATCTGTCAACTTGTTCCTGAGTTGTCCTCAAAGATTTTTCAACAAACGGTCCTGCAGTTCCAGAACAAGCCACTAGTGGGCCCTAGTCTCTACCAGACTAACTACGCTGGCTATATATAGGAGAATATTTGGCCTCCTTGTAGGTTTGATTGGGCCGCGCAGTTCGGAGGCTAGGGAAAGAAACTACCTCCCCTTGGTCGGACTCCCTTGGCCCATTTGATTCTCTTTTTTTGTCGAATTCTACGATCCATATTCCCATAGAAAGGCCTGGAGGCTAAGTTGGCCAAAACTCATGTCATATCTTACCTAGCCCAAGAGCTATCTACCATCCAAAATTAATGGCCAGATCCTGAGATAGAAAAACCCTAAGTTCTGTTGCAGTACCAACAAAAGCCAAAAGGGAGCCCAAAACCTTATCATTTCTAGGTCTTATTAAGACATGCCAAGTTTCATGACCATGCATGTAAAGCTTTTTGAGTTATGCTGTTCACAGACAGACAAACAGACAGACGTACAAACGCTACTGAAAACATTCTTCTTGGCGAAGGTAACTATCAAATCATTTTATGACATTTTCTTAAAAATATCAGATAAGAAACTTTCTTACTTGGGTAGTTGTCTGGAAACCCAGGCGTACTGAAATTTCCTACACGTCCACGTTCGGCCTGTAGGACATTGACCTGTTCTGACGGGGTTGTGGTGCCCCCTGTCGGTCGGGGTGGAGTTGCAGTTTGCTGACCGCAGACAAATGCGACGGAGATAAGCAGGACCGCAAAGACCGCGGTTCTAAGTCGGCTGCCCATCGCTTCTGTCCTATAAACAAAGTAGAAAGCAAAAAGAAATGGTGGAGAATAAGTCTCAATATTACTACATCAAAAATAAATCACGATCCATCCACAGGATCTCGAGTTATCCTATTCCCAAACAAACAAACAAACAAACAAATAAATAAACAAACACAAAACGACCATCGCAGTAATGTAGGAATCCACCACAAGGCACATTCTGTAAATTACCCATTTTTTTTAGATATTCCAACATGTAATCACAAGACGTGGTGACGACACACTCAAGTTTTTTCAACTTATATTAATGCCGCAACTAACACAGGGGATAGTAATCATTTTCAAGAGCGAAGTGAGGAAAGTCGTGTCAAGTGCCTTTCCCAAGACACAAGATCGGTGACATGGGCAGGATTCGAACCTGGAACCTCTTGGGTGTGAGCCGAACGCGCCACCGTCTGCGCCACATTGACTTCCATACAATAGCTTGCCTAATTCAATTCACGATCGAATTGTCATGTTCACAAGCTTAAGCGAACCGATAAACTACAGGTACATTGGAACAATGTAGGAATTTGCAGCTGCCTAAAAGCCCATACTTGAGCTTAACTTTTCTTTACCCAACAGTAACTTGCCTAACCTACAGGTAACCATTCATGCACACCATCGCAAATTTTATATTAACAAACAAATCTGCAAGCAGATCCTACACGTAGGGTGGGTCCAATAAGCCCAAAAATTTTTTTGGTGGCGAATCGGACCCTCTCTGGTCCGTGAATACTGCCTGGTCAATTTGCACCGTGCAATTTCATACTATCTTTTTGCCATCCTAGGATCTGCTTGGTGATTAAAACAAATCAAGAAACGCAAAAGGTCCACAGCAGCAATACAACCGTCCTAATAAGGCCAATTTTCGAACTTGACCTTCGTTTCCCCAATAGTAACGTGCCTACCAAAATTCAATACCATCCTTTTGACCATAAAGATTGATTTTTTAAACATTAAGTAGTCCTTCATGGTGGAATTATTGAGCACAAAATATTGTGGACTTCTTAGTGATGAAGCTCGTGCATTGTTTAAGTCGCTGAAATCGGACGAACCTGTTTCTCAACAATGTCTTATCAAACATGCCCAAGGGCAATTCATGACATGCATGAATGAATGAGTGATATGTCTGTTCAAAAGCATGGCTGTAACTGTTGGCCCTTCAAACACTGCACTAAATAATTTTTATCAACTAGTACGGCTACACTTAATGCAACGCCTCTAGTTAGATAACCAAGGATGTTCAAATGAGGAGTAACACCACGCTGTAAGATTCTGCGGTCCGGCTTTGATCCGTAAGTTCTGAGCATAGTTTTGCGGGATTTTCCACGCAAATGAGCTTTAGCATGACGCCACAAGCACCGAGCGTGGCCCGACCAGGGCCGATGTGCCCCAGGTTTCGGACGATTGCCATACTTGGAATTCTCGGTAGGGTTGGACAGACGTCATGGTCGGATCCAGGACTACAAGGCGGTTATTTATTGATATATTTGAATTGTTGCTGTACGACTAGCATGGATGAGTTTACGGTCATTGTTGTGGATGTTGCTACAATTCTTGCAGCAAGTTTTTTCTGAACTTTCAGGGGGTAGCCGTTCTTGTTGTTGTTTTTGGCACCGTACTTCTGGGTTTTTGCCGACCCTGAAGTGTCAGTGGGACGTCGTGTTTTGCATATTTCCTAAAGAGATCACTGTTAGGTTATTATTTCTTGTCCCTTGATTGTATTTGAAAGAAGTTACGAAGATCAGGGTATAAGAATACCGCACTGTCACACAGACAATCTATAAGGCCCAAGGGGTCACGTCGATTACTTCTGCCACGTTAAAGTCTCGACATGTTTGTGGGTAACTTGTCATGTGAACTCAGGGAGAGTAGACATGGGGCATATTTGAACATCTAACTGGTAATTCGTACTCGATGGAATGCCTGATACGGCAGTCTCTTGGTGCCTTCTGAACAAGCGCATATATTTACTGCTATATTGTTTGAACTTGAATGGTGGTAAAGGGGGGAGGGGCAATATATCCGAAAGAATGTAATGTTTATCTAAAGACAACTTTGCATAGTAGATTTATCACTAAAGACCAAACTGTCATACAAACACTGTTTAAACACAGCAAATTTAACGTTTACATGACTTGTTAAAAGTTAAAACACAAAAAATTCTCTCACCTAGAGCTTTCGACCAGTCACTCAGGAGACTGACCCAGTGAAGCTTGTCGCGTGGCTTCTTTGAGGTGTGACGTCACCACTGGGTCAAAGGTATCTCGTAGACTACCGACACAGAGGAACTTTCATGACAGATTACATGACAGTTTACATTAAAGATTGATTTCTTAAACTTTGAGGAATCTTTAATGTGGGATTATTAAGCACAAAATATTGTGGAACTTTTAGTGATGAATTCGAAGCTCACGCATTGTTGAACTCGCTGAAATGGGACGACCCTTTTTTTAAAAAAATCTTATAAAAACATGCCAGAGGGCAATTCATGACATGCATGAATGAATAAGTGATATGCCTTGTTCAAAAGCGTGGCTGTAACTGTTGGCCCTTTAAACACTGTACCAAAGTACTACTATACTATACATAAATCAATCTATTATTTGAACCACGACAAAAATAAAGCACCGTTACACTTTTGAAACGCCTCTAATTAGTCTTTGATCCGTAACTCCGTGGCGTAGTTTGCGGGATTTTCCAGGCAAATGAGCTTTAGCATGACGTCACAAGCACCGAGCGTGGCCCGACCAGGGCCGATGTGCCTCAGGTTTCCGACGATTGCCATATTTGGAATTCTCGGTAGGGTTCGACAGACGTCATAGTCGGCTCCAGAACAGCAGGGCGGTTATTTAGATATATTTGAATTTTTGCTGTACGACTAGCATGGCTGGATTACATCATCATTATCATTATGTCGGGATCCAGTCCTCCGCTGAGTTTACCGTCATTGTTGTGGATATTTATTACGATTTCTTACAGCCACAAAAATGTCATGTCGCGATATTTTACCCCCAAATGTTTTTTTCTGAATGTTTAGAGGGTGCTCGTTCCATTGTTGTTGTTTTTGGCACCGTACCGGAGTCTGCTTCTTTAGCCGACCCTGAGGTCAGTTTTGTATGGTTTTTGTGTCGGTGGGACGTCGTGTTTTGTAGTTCCTATCACTGTTTGGTCATTATGGGTTCACCACACCAAGAAGTGGTGGTGAACCCATATTGCTTTTTCTGATGTTTCTTCTTCTCCTTCTCCTTCTCCTGCCATTTTTTAAATGGATTCAGCTTCTTCATTTTAGGGCTTAAGGTCCTGAAATTTGGTATGGAGGTACAGTGGGCAAATACCCCTAGGCGTTTTTTAAATTTTTGTGATACAGGCTTTTAGAATGGTTTTATTTGAGTTTTTTGGCTGTGTTATAGCAAATGTATTACTGTGTTAGTGTGCCGTGTTTACCACGTCTGGGCATGAGTCATCACAATGGAATGCAGGGCATCAACCAATAGGCATGCAGCTTTCCTCTATACTTCTTGCTGATTGGCTGTTGGGATTTAACTTGATTAACACCTGCACAGAGCATTTCCACCTGCACAGAGCATTTCTTGCAAGTGTTTTGGTAGGTATTTCAAGCTTTTCTGCTCCAGCATTGGAATGCGGGGCATGAACGTTTTTTTTTTTTGAAAATCAACAGTTTGCATTATGCAATTAAAAATCCTAACCAATAAAGTAGGGAATAGCTATCCAACTGTTGTTTTAGTTGTATGTTACTTCATATTATAGTTATATCAATGTAAATCATTGTTTTCCCTTGTGTTTCTCATTCTTTCCCTGCCATGTCGTAAAATGTGGTGAACCCATCGCTGTATTTGCTCCAAAGCAAATATTGGCCTTTCTAGTTATTTCTTATATTTGATGTAAGTTACGAACTTCAAGGTTAATCACAAAGTATCGAGCGAAGCCGATCTAAGCCAAATAAAGTTTTTAAGTTCTCCACATTCATGCAATATTACGAGCAGAATATCATTCTCTTCTGCTATATTTCATGACTCTCGGTTTTATTTTTCCTTAGCGTACAAATATAATTTCAGGGCGGCCCTTGCAGATGTTTAATATGCAACGCGCTGTATTCCGTCTTACCGCCCCAACCACCCCTTACCCCCAGCGCTGAAATTAAACGCGAAGTCGACACCCCCGAGCCAAGCCATGTTGGAACTGGACGTTAAAACACAGGAATGTGGCCAGAAGATCTATACGAATCAAGGTACTAGATTTCACGCGATCATGTCTTTTTACACTCGCTACGAACATGCATGACGTTGAGCCAACGAGGTTTAAAACGGGAATGAAGAATAATAATTATGTGCTTGATCCTTCTCACTTCAATCTCCTTGTTCTAACGTCCTTAATTTGGAAATTATACGTTGGTAGACGATTAGAATAAGGTCTAAAACATACCTGGAGTTGCGGATACCCGGTCGGTTAACACCGCAAGCTCATGCAGGATACCTGGTAACACGTGGGGACTTGTATTCCTTGTCTGGCACGACTTCGAGATATCAGAGACATGTAATGTGCAGACGGTTGAAATCATGTAGTCTGAATCGACGAGTTACATGTAGTACACAGGATGTGCTCATAGATATCAGTGCACAGGGTATAAGAATACCACACTGTCACACAGACAATCTATAGGGCCCAAGGGGTCACGTCGATTACTTCTGCCACGTTAAAGTCTCGACATGTTTGTGGGTAACTTGTCATGTGAACTCAGGAGGAGTAGGCATGGGGCATATTTGAACATCTAACTGGTAATTCGTACTCGATGGAATGCCTGATACGGCAGTCTCTTGGTGCCTTCTGAACAAGCGCATATTTACTGCTACATTGTTTGAACTTGAATGGTGGTAAAGGGGGGAGGGGCAATATATCCGAAAGAATGTAATGTTTATCTAAAGACAACTTTGCATAGTAGATTTATCAGAGTCAAAAAGACCAAACTGTCATACAAACACTGTTTAAACACAGCAAATTTAACGTTTACATGACTTGTTAAAAGTTAAAACACAAAAAATTCTCTCACCTAGAGCTTTCGACCAGTCACTCAGTAGACTGACTAAGTGAAGCTTGTCGCGTGGCTTCTTTGAGGTGTGACGTCAACACTGAGTCAAAGGTATCTCGTAGACTTTAAACATGTGACTACCGACACAGAGAAACTTTCGTGACAAACATGACTTGTTAATATGTTTAATCTAGACGTTCCAGTTGACGTTAAAGATTGATTTCTTAAACTTTGAGTAGTCTTTAATGGTGGGATAACTGAGCACAAAATATTGTGAACTTCTTAGTGATGAAGCTCATGCATTGTTTAAGTCGCTGAAATCGGACGAACCTGTTTCTCAACAATGTCTTATCAAACATGCCCAAGGGCAATTCATGACATGCATGAATGAATGAGTGATATGCCTTTCAAAATTGCAGCTCTAACTGTTGGCCCTTTAAACACTGCGCCAAATTGATACTATACTATACTTAAATTACATTTATTATTTGATCCACTACAAAAAACACTCAGTACTGTTACATAATGAAACGCTTTCCACAGTAATTACTGCTACATTGCTTGACCTTAGCTTGAATGGTGGTAAAGCGGGAGGGGCAATGTTTCCGAAAGAATGTAATCTGTACCTAAGGCCACAGCAAGTGATTTTGATGGATGACATCAGCGCGCATTAATTTTCGCCTGATTTTAGAGAAAAAAAACACAAGAAATTTTGTTGCCTTCTGACAGTGGCCATGCCGGAAGGTGGATGGCAGATAACTATGAAGAGAGGAGAAAAGAAAAGGCTCTGACTTAATGTTTTGTTTTCACTTTGATGCAGTAATATGTGAGGCTGACTGTGTATATGTGATGTTTTCACTGAATCAAAACTATTTGTACAATAATTTAGTCAAAATTTGAAAATGCAGGAGCCTTGTTTTTGGGTCCGTCTTGTTTTTTTTCGCCCGCTCGCATTAGATTTGGAGTCTGCGAAGGATGTCATCCATAAAATTTACTCGCTGTGGCTTAAAGACAACTTTTGCAATGTAGATCCATTATAGTAAAAAGAGAGCAAATTGTCATACAAGCACGGTTTAAAGCATGACAAAGTTCAAAGTTCTAGATTCAACGTCGCAGTTAAGTTTAGATATGGCCCTATTACATTATAGATCGATCATTGGATCAAGTTGTAAGTAGTTTGATGTATTTCACTGATGCCTCCTGGCGATAAGAGTTAACACTACAGTCGACACGTGGGTTGAGGGGAATGAAGGCTTATGGAAATTTAAAATTAATCTGCCAGTAGAAAATGCCTTGCCAGACAATATAAAATTTTGCTGATTGCCATGTACTAGTATTCGGCCAGCTGCTATTTTCAGATTTATTTTATGGACACCTGGAGGTCCACTATTTTATCCCCTTACTAAACAGTATTAATCTTAATGACTGACGAATGATAAATGACTTGCATTGACTATGCAAATAAAAACTCTAATTTGCATAAATCATATCAGTTGATAATATTCTCCACCCTATGACAGCCTCATCTTATTATGAAAGAAGGCTGGTCTATAATTTCATATATTTCATACATTATGTTGATGAGGTTATGATTTGGATTGGTTTTGTTTAATATTATGTTTAATTTCTGGCAGTTAAAACTGTAGAATTAGGAGCATGTTGTCCTTTATTATGTAAATTGAGCTAATATGCATATTCACATAGTTCTTTATTTCAGCACTTCCAAATGTTATGAACTGTTAAATGTTATCCTACCAACTAATCCTAAAAGTCACAAGCTGTTTAAACTTTTCATGCTTTTTAAATGTTACGGAAACGCTACAAAATGTTTATACATGATTTAAACGTATATTATGACTTTATAAATGCTAAAGGCTGTTCCAAACCTTACAATTCGTCTCAAATGTTGCTATCTGTTCTGATTGTTACAAAACTGTTCTACTGTGCCAATTATTATAACATGTTCTAAATGGTACTAACTACTCTAAACGTAACACGTTGTTTCTAAATGTTGCGTACTATCCTTAGAGGCACTGTTAGACTTATTACAAATCTTCTAAATATTGCAAACTCTAATAAAAATGATTGAAAAGACAGCCAATCTTTACGAATGGGTTTGTTCGAAACCGCCATTAACATTAGCTACACTAATCAGAATGCGAGAATTTCTTTAGTTTGACATTTTGTCATTCAATGAAGTTGTGGATTCCCCCTCTCTGTACCACAATTAGTTGTCTCCAGCAGAAAATCTCACAATAGGAATTGCAATGATCAGTCCAAACACATACAATGTGAGACAGAGACGGTCTAGGACCTTAGCAAGTTTGCTGTAGTCCGTCTTAGGTCCCTCATCATCCGTCGTCTCGGTGGTCTTGGGTGGGGCTGAGATCGCAAGGGACTCCACGGCGTTACTGAGGCCATTGACGGACTCCTTAAGAGACTGCAGCACTTCAAGAAGGTGTTTTGGATCAGCTTCGGCTGGTTTACTAAAAAAATAAACAGCAATATGACAACATTTAACACGATGGTGAGTAGTGGCTTCTATGGAAAGCTCACTTTTTTTCGTTATAGTAGAAGGATAAGTTTGAACGAAAGGTTATTTCATATACTAGTAGATAGCTTCTTGTTCCACCCTCTCTCTATACATGTAATACTTACCAATAGTTTAAAACATTTTAAATCTAGTTGAGTGAGGAAATTTGCCTAAGTAAACTGCAGCCATGGTACAGGTACATATAAGTGTACACGTAAATACCAGGATGGATTTAGAAGAGATTATGGTGCCAAGATGGCGACAAAACCTACCTGTCATTTCCCATCGTGCCTTTCCCCATCTCAAAGCTGTCTACTTCCACTTCCAGGACGGTGTGGCCGTGTTTAGTCTGGGTGAGGTCCCCCAGGAACACCAGCCGTGCGACATGCCGGAGAAACACCTTCTTCACAAGGGGTGGCAGGTCTTTGTCCTTACAGAAACATGTGGCAAAATTAGACAGACACCTTACACAGCAATTGAACAGTTACTAAAGCATCTAGATTGGTTTTGAAAACTATCAAACGTTCAAGTATCATCCATTATTTTTCGTCAGTGACTAATGGACTCTGTAGTGCAACGCACGCACGCACGCACGCACACACACATACACACACACACACACACACACACACACACACACATTAAATACGGAATCCTGTTTGAAACCCAAAACAAGCACTATGTAATAATGTGATAAAGACACTCACCCTGGAGCTGATCCTGATGACTATGACGGTGACGATCAGGAAAAATCCCATCATGCACATGTACACGACAATCAGCAGCGCTAAGATGGACGAATTAAATTAATTGAGGATGATCTATGTCTTATCTTTATCTCATATACCTCCTCGGATTCGTCTTTCGAAATGTTGACGTGATCGCATGGCGCTCTAAACTCATTTTCTGACATATAAAGGTATTGGAAGTTTTAACATTGTCATAGAGGCTCTTACCTACAACAGGCATAGTACCCTTGGCCGGCAGAACATCTGTGATGAAGACCAGAGAGACCACCATGGACAACAAAATCGTCATCCCGTAGGAAAGACGATCTCCCTGTTAACAAAACATAAACATTGATTGGCATTACTCAAGAATGCTTTTATAATTGCATACATCGCTTTATGAAAATAAAAGATAGCATTTATGTTGTATAAAAGATTCATGGAAATGGTATTTAAGAAAACGTGAACCTTATTCGAACGACAATTGACTGCACTTAGAGTACTAGTGTGAACATTACCTTCATATTTTTGGGTCGCTATTATGTAACATCTGTAATTTACGCAAGTAAAGACATCTTTTTGTCTCTCTTCTAGATCTAAATTGTTGTTTGACTCCCAATCAAGTTACTATCTGATGAGCGACTTCCGACCAGTTCTTAGCCCATCCTTCGTTTACTCCCCAAAACCCCCGACTTGAATACATTGAACGTTTTCAAACATGGCAGCTAGCACATGTACAGTCGACCAGCAGCCAACCTCACAGACTAACTGCCAACCATGGCCGATCTTGCGTCCAACCGACTCCCAACCATATGGTCTTGGGAGTGGACGGGAGATCATGGTTGGCTATTTTGACGGCGAATGTCTTTGAATCGAAACAAATGTCTAAGATGTATTTGACCATGTCTAAGATGTGTTTGACCATGGTCTTCGGAAGGTTGGGAGTGGTCAGAGGGTCATGGTTAGCTTTATGTGACGGTGAATGGCTCTGGAACAAGCAGAACTAACCTTCTCAATCGGCAGCACAAAGGTGATACACATGAGCAGTGTGAGGATGATGACAGGCGACAGTGTGGTACAGAAGTGGAACGTCGGGATGCGGTGAAACTGCATGTTGATGCAGCCTGCACCAAATACGCCCTCGTCCACGTCGATCTGGTTGAAGGAGAAATTGTATGAACGGAGAAATGAAACCTTACAAACATGCTTACAGCGTAGCTAATCAACATAGCTAAGCTACGCCATATATATTATTACATCACAATTAATAAATAATAGTTTATATTCGTCAAAGTTATTAGCCTCAAGGGCGCACCAATCCTCTCTTGTCGGCTTCCAAGAACTCTTGACCCACTGCCGACGTCACAAGTAAATCGATTCATATGTCCTGCTCATGGGTGACTGGGCCAGATACCCGAACAGAAGGTTCCGGGTCGGAGTTTAATTCTGACCAGAGTCTAAGTAAGTGCGCAGTAAATCGCCGGAAACGTGACTTTGAATGGTATGTTTTGGCCGCGATATCCCTGAAATCGTAATATCTGTGTACATATATTTGTATTTTCTGAAAAGCCTGTTAGTTGTAGCCTTTATAGGTGGCGTAATGTTGGTGGTCCAGCGAAGACTTCCTGGTATTCGTCCGCGCGGATGGTAATGTGGCCTTTTCGCCTGACCGCCGGGATTGTACGTTCTATATGCGTTATGGGTGTGTTCGGGCCATCGAAGATAGCGATAAACTTATCGCATCGATTTTAATTAAATTCAAATTTTGGAAACACTAGGTTCTGAGCTTCTTCGAGTACTAAGCCGTTACCCTGGGAAAATTCGTTTTTCCATGCAGCCGTGGTTAAAAATGACGAAAAAATTACCCCTTTTTTAAAAATGTACTTTGATGTGCCTTATTTACCCCTAAATAAATTGGGCGCAGAAAATATCAATCAAGTGTATTGATAAGCGGCACGGCACCCCTTTCCACCAAAAGAGTGAAAAATTCCGACCCGCGTTTAGTACAGAAATGACAGCCCGTCGGGCTGAGGGTGTCAAATTGCTCGAAATACGGAGGGAAACTCCGGTCCGAGACCAGAAGAAGTGACGAAGTTGTGTGTGGCAAAATGAGCAAGCTCATCCAACACAAGGGAAACAATAAAGCGCAGGCAAAGAAATACTACTACTACTAAGTCTCAATGACTATCACATACCGTCCATCGTGCGTTCCACTGGTCGGCAACGTCCACAGCCACCTCCCCACACCCCATGAAATTCTCGATGTGGGACTGGGGCTCATCAGTACCAGACGTGTTGTCACGGATTCCCGGGCAGGAGAACCTCTCCACACGGGTATTTGCTCCCAGACACACAGGGCAATCCATGGAATCAAAAGGAAACAGCACTGGTTCTGAAGAAATAAAAAGGTATCTTTTAACTGGTTGTACTGAACACAACAGAGGTCTTCCTTGATTATTTTCACTTCTTAAACCGCCTCGTTTGCTGCACTCATTTGGTAGGTATAGGAAATTCCCAGACCTCATTATACATTGTATACAACTTGGGACGGGTCATTAAGCCTTAATTGACGACTTACCGAGATCACACGTTGTTGTTAAGAGATCTATGATGTCCCACTCCACAAGCCCATCGCTGGTCACTGTCACAGGCGCTTCTGGGAAGTCGCTAAATTTAGCGTCACCACTGTAGTAATATAGTTTTTGCAATGAGTCGCAGATTAAAAAAAAAATGTGGGCATATATGGTGAAATTACCGTCATTACTTTGTAAACGTTGAGAATAAACTAGAAATGCGGCATTTGCTCTAGAGCAAATACAGCACATTTCACTCATTCTTCTTCCCCATTCCGAATTTCCCCATTCACCATGCAATCCATACCAAGTACCCTTTATCTGTTTGATTATCCTAAGTTAGATGACATTATCCCAGCAGCCAATCAGCAAGGAGAACCTACTCCCACCTGATGAGTAATTAGGTCAAACATATATGGTTTGCCAAATATGGTCATGCGTGCCACTTGTGTCAAACATAGTCATATACCATATATGGTAAAACCCCTAATAAAACCATACAAAAAGCCTATATAAAAAAAAACAAGAACAAAAACGCCTAAGAATATTTGACCTCTTTATCTCCATACAAAAGTTCAGGTCACTTAGCCCCAAAATGAAGTAATTGAATCTATTTAACGAAATGGCAGGAGAAGGAGGAGAGAAAACAATGATGTGCCAATTGCCTTTCCAAATGACAGCATAAAGCATTAGTTGCTTTTCAATAAAGTGCACGTCTACAGAGTGTCAGTTAGTGTGTCTATAAATTCAAAAAAGCACTTACTTTCGTCTGAGGTAAACTTTTGGGATCCAGACGTCCTTCGTTGTCACAACAAGCTCTGAGACTCTGCCATACTTTGTGGGGGTCCAGGACAAACGGTTGTCTTTCCATCGCTAGAACAAAAAAATTACAATAGCAACATTCCTAGAAGACACTGTGTGTCACTCACATTAAACTTTTTATGACTAGCTATTAGGGCTGTGTATGAAAACAAAAAGAAGACATCGTCCGTATAAGAAAGTACGTCACACTCCCCACAAACCAGGGTCCCCCCAAACATTACTTCCGTCCCGAAAGTATTGCATCAATTTATATATAATGTTATACCTACCAGTCGGAAAGCAATCGATGCGAACATGTTCTCGTTCTTTTCGTCCTGAAACCACAAAAAACCGTCAAACATATTATACTTAAAAGCGACATAGCGACAAAGAAATAGAAATGCAAAACATGATTACTTATGTTTTTCCTTAATTGCATCAAAAAAGGCTTTAGAGTTAGCGAGCACGTTGGTCGTATATGTGTTCCAGTAGCCCCGAATACAGGCTTAGAATCACAGAATGCATTGAAAGCATTAACGATTATAGCTCTAGTATCTGCTTGGTCATCAATTATGCCAGCTACAATACGGAGAGGTAGATGTCCTACTTACGGCGTCTATTATCTCCACCACGGCAGCTTCAAAAATGACCCTGACCTGATCCCTGCTAGGGGCCAGTTGCGGAGAGTAACGATCCTTAGCAAGCAGCGTATTAGCAAGCTCCAACCTGTGGTCAACTAGATATCAACACGAGGGAATTGAAGTTGTTTCGGGTCCTTTATACGTTATATTATGCCCCATGGAGAATTTAAATTACAATAATTAATCTCTATACATATCTAGCGGTTACAGATGTATTTATAGGCACTCTCAAATGCATCTGTCGACTCTGCAAAGTAAGTTACCACAAGTATGTTGTATAACAATAACTTTTACAATTGATTAGTGTTTGTAAACCCAACATGTATACAAGCAGCAAAATCATTACTGTTGCTGTGATGAGAGCTTTGCACTGTCGACACTGCAAAGTAAGTTACCACAAGTATGTTGTACCACAATAACTGTTACAATTGATTAGTGTTTGTAAACCCAACATGTATACAAGCAGCAAAATCATTACTGTTGCTGTGATGAGAGCTTTGCACTGAGATAAACGTGTCCTTTTATTTGCATTAGCTTACAGTAATTAGAATTCAAAATATCTTTGGATACCCTGATAACATCTTGAAAGGGGAATGAATATACATTTGTGCGACTCAGAGTAGTGGGATAGGAAGCAAAATCAAAGAAAGACAAGAAAAAAACTAAAAGAGGCTCGTTTAATTTCAATTATTTTGTTAAATATGCATTATGTTGATTATCATATGTTTTTCTTTATGTCATTATTTCATCTGTATTAATTTAATTTAAGAGTTGTTGAAATTCATAGGTTATTTTTGATTTTCCTCCTGTGTTAGTATAACTTAAGTTGGCTGGTTCTTTTGTTTGTTAATTCTGTTGTACCTCTGTATTTGGATCCGTGGTATATGTGTTATCTTTTGTGTTATTGTTGGTTTATTTGTTATTTTGAAAATGAACAATAAAAATAAAATGAAAACTTAAAAAAAAGAACGAAAATTTCTTTAGAAGCAGAGATTATTATGACATCCTTTACATTTTGCTTATATACTAATTTGGTATCTAATTCTTTGGTTAAAAGTTGAAAAATCGAAATTATAAATCTTCATACACATCTAAGGTTTAGACACTCTTAAATGGATCCGTCGGCTTTGAGACGCTATGCAAAGCAATTACAATGGTTACAATCGGTTAGATTTTGTATACCAAAATAATAAGGTTGCATTAAAGACAAACTAACCTGAACACCGTAGGTTTTCCTTGCTCCATGTGCCATCTTCAGTGCAGGTTATCCACATGTCCTCTTCCTCCTGCTCAATGACGTACCCTACGTCACAGCTGATGAAAACCTTTTCCCCCACCCTGTAGAAATTCTGAATCGGACTTCTGCTTCCCGATTCTACATTAGGAGGGGGCCCGCAACCGGGTTCTGGGAACAAGTGAAAATAAGAGATGTTCAAGATGTTAACGTGTGCATGTGGAGTGCGATGCACTGCTTGCAAAATTGAAGTTTCTCATGAATGAAGAATGGTTATATGATATATAACCATATAATGGTACGCCAGGGAGCAGCGCCAGGCGGGCTGGCGTGATCAAGGCGGACCTTGAGCGTAACCAAATCATCCGGCAGCTGGCTACAAGCATCCATACCGGAACCAGCACGTCTCCCTCGATATGGACCCACCTGGCAAGACGGATGCCCAAAGTTTATGGGTCTCAGATTTGCAACCACCTTAAACAAATCCACTCTAGGGCCACCGTGTCAAGCTTCCTCACTCAGATGTAGGAACTGACACGGTCTCCATTTTCTCTCGAGACAGAAGGATGCCAACAATGGTACGCCATTCCCCAAATATATCGAGAATACCTAGTAGAAAATCCCTTACCATCACAAGGCTTTAATCCACATGGCTCAGGAAAGGTGTATTCTTGTCCATCCCAAACCCTCGTCACAAAACAGAAGGGCTCTGGGTATGTGTCTGTAAAAGACAGGCAGATGCAAACAATTGTCGCTTCTATTACAATCAGGTTTCAGTTTTATTTATTTCACAATCAACTACACTCAGGTTATATAATTTAATTATATAACAAAAAACCTGTTTTCATGCAGTGCTGGGCATACAAAGTACAAAATAACATACTGTACAGTATTACAAAAACACAATCCAAAATGACATACAACAAAAGAAGTGATATGATCATACAGTTTCAACAATCTATACGTTCATGACATCACAATTCCTGACTGAATTTACCAATCCACTGAAGTTGTTCAGTGACAGGTTATTCCACAGTTGGGAATTTTAGGAAAGAAACACTTTTTTGCACTAAAGTTAAAACTAAAGAGATAGTTTACCTATGACATCTAGTAGTATACATTTTATATTATTATAAGGCCACAGCAAGTAATTTTTATGGATGACATCCGCGCGCGCATTGATTTTCGCCTGATTTTGGAAAAAAACAAGAAATTTTGTTGCCCTTTGACGGTGGTCAACTATCCGAAAATGGGCAAAATGGCATGCCTTGCCATGCTGGAACGTGTATGGCAGATAAACATGAAGAGAGGAGACAAGACAAGGCTCTGATTTATTGTTTTGACTTTTACTTTGATGCGGTGATGTATTTTATTCCTTTTATACGTTCCCACGGAATCAAAACCATTTGTACAATGATTGAAAACTTTCCCTTTTTAAAGTTGTTTCAGTGACGAATGGATGCTGTGACAGGTGGCAGTAAAGTTAGCACTATATACTAGCTATCGTTTCTTGTTTCACAGCGTTCATGATGTCAACATTTCAAAATATAGGAATCTTGTTTTTTTGGGCCCGCCTTGTTTTTTTTCGCCCTCTCGCATTAGATTTGGAGTCTGCGGAGGATGTCATCCATAAAATTTACTTACTGTGGCCTAATTAAAAAAAAAGAGAAAGATACGGACCTGACCAGATAGTCCGACAGTAGTTCTCCTGTGGATCTGCCCAATCGAAGCGCGTCTTTACTGGCCCCAGCACGTCTGTCCAATTAAGGCACGTCTGTCCACTTTCTTCCGGTAGAGTACCCATTCCTCTGTAGTTTTCTCCGTTACCGTAGTAGCAATCTGTGCGACGGTTACAACATAGATATAGATGGTGATATGGTTGCTTTGCTCGTACGCATTAACAATATCTTAACTTCTCATAACTATGTTATGTTGTCTAACTATGATATTTAGCCTTTCTTTCAGCCTTGTCATGACCATGTATGATAGTACTGAATTTAGTATTTTATATGAGTATTTAATAGATTGTTTTAATGTCGAACTTTGTTATCTCTTGGTAATCAGTGTGTAATGTGGGTTTTATCGAATAATCTTATTAATTTGAATCTGTTCTGCCATAAATGTTAGGAAATTAAATTGTACAAGACATAAATTAGACAATGGCTACAGGTGTTCACAGCCAAAACTATTTGATTGATTAATTGATTGATTGATCGATCGATCTTAATCTTGGGTTAAACGTCATTGCGCCTACTTCCACATGGAGAAGATCCTACATTACTGATCTCAAGATATCAAATTTTCAATTGCTGTTAAGTTTTACAAAAATCGTTCATTTTCATCAAATGTATGATAAATATGAGTCTTGTCCAGACCTTCAGAAGGTTCCAAGTTGACGCATCCAGCGGTTGGAAGACTCGTACAGTCAATGTCATCAAACAAAGATCCGTTGGTGGCTGCAGATGAGCAGGAGAGTCGTACTTCCCTGCACCATGACTGACAGGGTAGCTTTTTCCTACTATAATAATGCCGAGAAAATATAGTTAAATCATTACAATGAATGATACACTGTTTATGAAAAACACGATATGTTCTTTTGAAAATTTAGTTGATATTAGGCATGATAATTAACTGCTTGCTTTCGCTTTATTTCTGTTAGTTGTCTGCATAATTTAGGTTTTCAAGACAAGGTAATTCAGCACCACAAATTCCAATAACTCTTGGAGTTATTGGATAACTCGTTGAGCTATTGGATGAAAAAGTTGTTAATACATGTAATACAAAAAAGACCAATAGCTTAATATCCAAATATATATATGGTTCCTCAATCAATGGCAGGTTACATTATGACATTTTGATGTGACGTATTAAAAGAACAATAAGTGATTTAGATTACCTCATAAGTATTGCAAACTGGGGCATCAGCAATGAACACAAAAACGGCTGGATTTGTGGATGACACGAAGTGTCTACAGTCGTCATCTCCTGCCATTGCCGCGAAGTCAGAATCTCATCAGCACTTTCGTGGCCGTAAAAGTTGGGGATCGTCACCCGTTCGAAGTCCAGGTCTCTGCAATAGTCATAAAACTCATCGGGGATGGGCATTGGGACCTCAATGAAATGGCCAGAAGCCAGAGCAGGAACCAGGTCTGAAGAATGATACAAATAAAAACATAAACGGTCAATTCATTCCGTCGAAAATCCGGGGAATTGATACATTACTTTTTTTTATCTATTGTGTTTATTGACTTCGTTCATTTTACACTTAAACACACGGCAGCATCACCTGCTATTTTGCACAGACGCTGAATTGCGCATTTTAGGCATCTTAATATCATTATAATTATACGTAGTACTAGGCGTCCTTCCATCTCATATACATAATAACTAATCAAAACATGTATACAATTACATTATAAAAAATTAGGAGTGCGTACTCATACTTCAAAGACTTCGTTAACGACGCACGTTTTTGGAAATGGTGCACAACACTGTTATCTGACAGTGTAAGTTTTGTTATAAACAGGACAAGCATGTTTTTACATAAACGGCATATATCAGAAATGATCATAAAGTAACAAAGGGGAAGTAATTAACGAATTCGTGGTTCTAACTTGCGGCAAGATGCATTTTGTTTAACGTGTGTCGACGTCTGGACATGCATAAATTATGGGGACATGTTTTATTCATTTCTCAGGGGTCTTCAACTGTGCAATATAACCCACAATGCATCACGCCAGGCATGCGCAGTTGAAACCATGAAATCGCTAATATCGCAGTACTGTTGGAGCTTGTCAAAAACGAAAGGTACACTAGGCCACAGCGAGTAATTTTTATGGATGACATCTGCGCGCGCATTGATTTTCGCCTGATTTTTTTTGGGGGGGGGAACAAGAAATTTTGTTGATCTCTGACATGTACAGTGGTCAACATGCCAAAAATGGGTAAAGATGTCTGTTGCCATGCCGGAACGTGGAAGGCAGATAAGTATGAAGAAAGGAGACAAGACTCTGATTTAATGTTTTCTCTTTCACTTGTATATACTTGATGTTTCCACTGAATCCAAACATTTTAGAAGGATTGAAAACTTTTATTTTCAGTGACAGTGGATGTTGTATTAGTCTATAGTAAACACAGAACAATATAGCTATCATTTCTTGTTTAACAAGGCTTATGATTCACCGTGTATGATGTCAAAAATTAAAAATGTAGAAATCTTGTTTTATTTGGCCTGCCTTTTATTTGCCCTATCGCATTAGATTTGGAGTCCATTGAGGATCTCATCCATAAAATTTACCTTCTGTGGCCTTGCAGCAAGCCATGAATAAAAGTGAGTTACCTTCGATTAATCCTGTACTCTCTGTTGCCCAGTATCGTGCAGAGAATCCAGACCGTGTCACCCTCGCATCTGACATAAAAACTACCGTCAGCACGGTGGAGGTTGACTCCATCTCAGGTGGCAGCTTTTTTCCACAGAACCTGCCTGAATAAGTTAAAGAAGAGATTTAATGACAATCACCAGTATGGTTCATTGAAGAAATGTTAATGTTTTGTATTCGTATATTTTCAAAGTGATGTCTGTATGTTCAACCATTCTAAGATTATCTTTTTTGTTGTCTTAAATTTCCTTCTATATGCATGTCCATTTTTGCCCTATATGAGAGCCAGTGGGAAAAAGCATAGATAAAATGGGCAATTGAGAAAGAGAAATTGACAATTATAGATAAAACACCAAAGTCAAAATTAACTTACGATCGCTTTTATTGCAGTTCATGTACTTGATGTAATCCCAGAACAAGCAGGGCTATCGTTCTGACCAAGGAATAAATATTCCAAATACGAACTGAACTGAAAGAGCATACCTTTCAAAATATTCATTTCGGTATCGTCGTACACGGTGACAGAGTCGTAGGAACAATTCCCTCTCCAGGTTGGCCTCTCCAGATCAAAATGGTCGAACGCCAAGTGCACCACATCATCATATGAGGTACTTTCAAGTCTCCACATTATACTTCTCCTAACTGCAAAGAAAACAGGATCACCAATTATCAATCTTTTTACTAACTGCGTGTGACTGTTATTTTTTTTTAATCTTTAAGCCACACCAAATTGATTTGTTGGCTCTTGCATTTTTTTCAGAAAAGATATGAAGCAACAGGGAGAAAAAAAATAAAGAAAACATGTCTAGGCATCCTATTATAGCCCTAAATGCTACGATGGGAACTATGGAGTCAATACAAAAGGCTAGGTTGAAATTTCAACTATGAATTTTGAACTTTTAATCAAACCACTGCATTGTAAGATGGAAAAACTGTAACAACTAGGAAAAATGGACTTCACTCAACTGTTGGGGCAAAATATGAGCATTTTTAATTGATTCAGATTTTTATTTTGCAAATCAGAAAAAAAATGAAGAGGCGAATCTGAGAACCAGAAAATTAAATGGTGATTCTTTAATTGGTGTGGCCTTGGTTAGTGTTTCATGGCCCACACAACCACAATGACAATCACAATCCTTGTAAGGCCATGTTGATTTGATTATTATTTATTTATTTATTTATTTATTTGCATGTTCATGCCCATGGGGCTAAATGCATACATCAGAAAGTGATGTTATATGTACATCAATCTGAGTAACATGATACATAAGATACAAGAATAACAGAATAACAGAATGACGTAACGTCTTAACAACTACTAGTCAGAGAATAAACTAAACTAAGCCTTAAGGATTTCTTCTCTCTTTTTAAAGCAAGTGGAGATAAACTCACAAAGTTTTTCTATTATATGGTCATTACTGGTGGACATGAGATGACTGAATACCTCTTTCTTTGTTCTACCTTTATACAGTTTGTCTAAGTGGATTGTTCTAAATAGTGTGTCACGTTCAATATCAAACAATTTACAATCAAGTACAAAATGTATTTCATCTTCTACACTACCAGAGTTACAAACCTTACAGAGTCTATCTTCTACAGGAGTCCGGTTATGTCTGCCGGTTTCTATGTGTAAATTATGGTCACTAATTCGTAGTTTTGACATGGTCCGGCGATGCTCGGGATTTGGGATACTTAGGTATTTTTCTTTATTATATGTAACTTTGAACAGTTTGTATGTTCTTAATTTGTTGCCTTGGTTGTTTCCTCGGCCGTTTGAATTTAATTCAGAATAGAATTTCTGTATAAAAATATCTTGTAGTCTTTTCTTAAAATCAAGTGAATAAGCAGACAAGTTCAGACTGTTGTTTGTAAATAGAAAGGCGTAACCGGACTCCTCTAACATTTTTCTTACATTAGACAGCCAGCAGGGTTACATGTTGTCGATCTAGGTCTTTTTGGACGATAAAAGCTTCATATGGCAAAACTATTTGTGTCTACGTTACTAACTAATCTACAGTAATAATTATATAGTCCGCAATAAGCTTCTATCCATAGGGGGAAACGGCCGAGCTCAGCTCTGCTGGCAAGATTACTGGCATTTCTTTTCACTCCCAGAATAAATTTACAAAATTTATATGGATGGCATCCGCGCGCGCATGAATTTTCGGCCGTTTCCAAAAAAAAAAAGTTTTCAAACCATTCTGTAAATCGTAACAAACAGTTGCAAAATGAGCAAAAATATACCATAAGTTACAAAAAAAATTAATAAAAACTATACCAATGTCGTAGAATGCCAAAATCAAACAAAAAAAGACGAAATTGTAAAGAAAAGACTAGATTATTCGCCAAACCATATTCTGTGCCATTTGCTCAACCCTCATGACCACGTAGATTTCATAATGAAATAAAACTTTTTTTTTTGCAAAACTTTTTTTTTATTCGCACGCGCGCATCAGTTTTGGGGCTCCCGGAGGATGTCATCCATATAATCAAATCAACATGGCCTAAGTTACAGAAAGCAGATGGCATGAGCGTGTGTTTAAGAGACTGTACACATAAGGGTCATCTCCCAGGCATCCTTAAACCATGCCCCCCCCCCCACACACACACACGTCCCTACCCTCCTCCTGTCACCCTCGTCTAGTCACATGACCTGTGCTGACCTTTAACCTACAGATGACCCTTAGCCGATTAAAGATGGCGGATGTTGTCTAAAAGCTTTGTTTAACTGTATGTCGTGTGCAAGTTTCATCATTCTTGTCTACACAATGACATTATGATTGTGTATAGGAATGGGACCATAGAGAAAACTAATCGTGGTAAGTAATTCGGAAATCAACCGTTTTTTTTTTATAAATTATCAAGCCGGTCAAATTTGCATGTGAATCAGAAAGTACACATTCAATGCACATACTGTTATCAAATAACTATACATGGAAACTGTAAACTGTAAAATACATAATAGTAAACTGCATTGTGCGGACCGTCAAAACTAATAAAGCTGCATAGTTGTATGAACTTTCTTAAGTTATATAAGATAAGAAATGTCCTTACTTGGGTAGTTGTCTGGAAACCCAGGACTACTAAGATGTCCTACACGTCCACGTTCGGCCTGTAGGACAATGACCTGACCTGACGGTGTCGTGGCGCCCCCTTCCGGTTGGACCGGAGTTGCAGTTCGCTGACCGCAGACAAATGCAGCGGAGATAACTAGAACCACAAAGAGCGCGTCGACAAGTCGCCTGTACATCTTCTGTGACCTGTGCAAAGGCACAAAAACGCAAAACCGAATGGTTGAGAATAAGTTAGTCTCACTAAACGTTTGTAAAACAAAAAAAGTCACTGTTGCTTACAAGTTCGATGGACGGTATGAGTTCCTGTTGCAATCAATAGAGACAGAGTTGTCTGCCAAAGTGAATTTAAGAGTATTGGTAAGGAAGATAGTTTTCTAGACTTGAGGAGTTTTTCGTGGTGAAATAATCCAGCACAAAATATTGTTGCCAAGGCTTTGGGGGCGCTCAACGTGGGCAAGCCCGTCCTTGAACAACATCAGATCAAGCATGCCCAAGGGCAATTCATGACATGCATGACTGAGTGATACGCTTCTTCTCAACATAAACAGCTGTAGCTGTTTGACCCTGCAAAGACTGAAATTATGAAATTACTATAATGAAAATAGATCTATGACTTGAACCCAGGCATAAGCAAAACAGTAGCACTGTTACACCGCATGAAACCACTCTTGTAGTGTCTGTTGTTGTCAATGTTTGGCGTCATAAGTTAGCAGACGATTAGACGAATGACTGTAAACATACCTGGTGCTATATGGGTTCCTTGTCGTGAATGTTGACACCGAAAGCTTGCAACCTTTACGACGAGTACACGGAGCCACTTGTATTATCCCTAGTTCTATACGACTTACGGGGTACATACAGCAATCCCAGAAGTCTGAATAAGCAGGTACAGGCTGTAGACAACACCGTGACGGGGCGCGACCTCTGTGTATACCGCACCGTCACTCAGACAACCCAGGGTACTGTTCCCCAGGGGAGGTCACATTACCTACTTATAGATCTCATCATCAGGTAGATAGTATTTCTTTCACGTTCAAGTCAACGTGGAGAATAAGACATAACACGTATACCTTTGTACTCACATGGCATGTTTTTTTTTTTCTGAGGAGGCAGTCGATGGGTAAATTCCTTGCACGCATTGTTGTTGTTCGAACTTGAGAGTGTGGTGAGGGGGGGAGGGGGGCTAGTTCCGAAAAAAAATAAAACAATGTGGTCTCTCGAATTTGTATGAACAACTTTTGCTTTGTCTTGAGAGTCAAAAAGAGGAAACTCGTCCATATAAGCAAAGCCTGAGACAGATAACGTTTTCATATTATCTGTTTACAATAAGTTCATAGTCATTGCAGTTGAATCTAGTAATGGATGTCTCCACATAATTGATCAAAGTTATAAGGCGTGGTTTAACCTGTTTTTACTGATGCCTCCTGGCGATAAGCAGTAACACTGCAGTCGGCATGTGAGCCAAGTTTCTGTTAGTATCAGTGCAGTCACATCCGTAGATCGTGGCACGATATTGGTCGATTTTTTATCTTCTCTTTTTTGTACTAAGTCTTGTACCTTTTTATTCGCCAGCCACTATTGGACACTGTCATGTCAATTTGATACCGTCTAACGCAGCGACCAGAAGATCTGCTTTAGATTACCCCGCGACGTCCTGGAAAAATATACAAGATTTTATGCGCTCATTATTAAAATATGTTGACCAATCTAGCGAAATTTTAGATACGGAATAGTACAGATTTCCATGACATCAGCGCGTGCATTAATTTTCGCCTGATTTTGAAGAAAAGGCACTGATTTGATGTTTCGTTTCTGACTTTAATGCAGTAATATGTGATACTGGCTGTGTATATGTAATGTTCCTACTGAATCAAAACCATTTGTGCAATGATTGAGTCAAAATTACAAAATATAGGAATCTTGTTTTTTTCGGCCCGTCTTGTTTTTTTTTCGCCCGCTCGCATTAGATTTGGAGTCTGCGGAGGATGTCATCACCGTTCCACACTCATTTCTCACGGACAGGTCGGTGGTAAATTGGCGTGGAGATGTGAGAAATAAAATGGCCAGGTGAAACCTTCTTGCATTGTACCTATGGTCTTTCGTAAAAACTGTGTATGCAGTCATACCAAGATGCAAACCAAAGATGGCCAAAAATAGCTGTTTCTTGTGATTTTGACCCAAAACTAAAAAAAAAAAAACATTTTTAACAGAAAAGTCTCGGACAGATATAACCTGTATGGAATTGGCTTTCATCTTGTAAAATATAACGATGGAAGGTGTTGTTACCGCCTGCGCGTAAATTCATGCGATAAACAGCTATTTTATTAGCCAAAATGTGTATTTCTAACCAAAAATTCAGGTGAAGAAAAACTGAAGTACCCTTTATTCAATGCGTTTCAAGTACAACTAAAACTGTGTGAAGTTTGGTCGCGGTGCGACCAAGCTATTAAAAGTTACAGTCATATGTATAGAATACTTCTTTCCCATAAGTCTAGGCCGCCTAACCCAACCAAGAGCTTCGCATTCCAATCAAATGTGAATACTCGACCAATTCTGTTCCTTGTGGAAGTTATCAATAAACAAAGACAAAACCAAAGTTATGATATTTTCAAAACACGGGCGGATTAACAAAAACCAACACCAACCAAATAAAACACAGGGCCAAAACATAGAAATTACTAACCACTATACATATCTAGGAATAGATGTAACCCCGTCAGGTTCATTTAATAGAGCTATAAAACAACTAAGATTGAAAGCTTTAAGGGCTTCATTCAAACTAAAATCACTCTTATCATCAAACTCCACCTCCTCCATCCCACTTGCCCTCGACCTGTTTAACACTTTAGTAAAACCAATTTTGTTGTACTGTAGTGAAGTCTTAGGAACAAATTCACAATGTAGAGACTTGATCCTGAAAGGAATAGAAGAATGTCCCAACGAAAATGTCAGAGAAAAAGTAACTAACATTCTTGGTCCAATTTTGGCACCAGATGTCGCCATCCTTAGAACTTCCCGCATAGGGAAGAAACTTGACCCTTTATCTCCCCGCCCCGTTCTCGTTCGTTTTAAAAGATATAGTGACAAACTTAATTTGATATACCACTCAGAAATATTAGAAAACATAACATTAGAACAACCAACGATATGTTATGAAATTCCTGACCTAGAGTATGTTCTGTTAAATTTCTACAAAATACTTCTCCATGTTCCAAAGAGCTCTGTCAATTCCGCTATAAGGGGGGAGCTAGGAACCTTACCACTGTACATTGATGCTCAGACACAAATGATCAAATACTGGCTTAGGCTAACCAATTTATCTAATGACAGAATTGTAAAGAAGGCATATGATGCTGCTGTTGAACTAGACCATGACTGGACAGTCCACATACAGGACTTACTGCGCAGACACGGCTTCCAAAATGTCTGGCTGAACCCAAGGGTTAATGCCAACCAGTTTGGAAGCTTATTCTAGCAACGTTTACAAGATACATTTCTAGTTGGCTGGTGGCAGGAAATAAGAAAATTCAATAAACTTCATACTTATTCTAAAATTAAAAAACATTTCGGCTTGGAAAAGTATCTATCATCAATTCAAAACGAATCTTTTACGACAAGCATAACTAAAATGAGGATAAGTTCACATGGCCTGGAAATCGAAAAGGGCCGTCATTATAACACACCAGCCGATCAGAGATTGTGTCCGACATGCAAGGAGGGTATTGAAGACGAATTCCACTTTATGATGTCATGTCCAACATATGAAGAAAACAGACAAAAATTGATGCAATTCATAGCTTCCAAAACTAATGTTACGCTACCTCACTCAAAATCAGATATCTTTAATACTCTCCTTTCATGTCCTACTCAGATATCAGTGTACGTTGGAAAATTCATATTCGAATCACTACAAAAGCGACACCAGATTGTAAATAGCTGATATATCCCCTGAATTACAGAATGTAATAATACTCTTCCTAAGAAAACACAATAGATTAGCTTTAGTATCATTATGGACTAGCTAGTTAGAATTATATCTTAGTATTAGTTGATCTATGTACCATTGTTGTTTCTTTGCCATACATTGTACCAGCTACAGTTGTTGAGCAATAAAGTTGATTTGATTTGATTTGAAAATGTTAAAAGAAAATTATATGCAAATTTCGAGATCACATTGTTCATCACCCAATTATGTACATGTAGTAAATCAATGTTTGAAGTTAAACCCATGCTGCATGTCACAAAAGGAATCAGTGATTTCCAAATAACTATAATTTTAAATTTCTTCATGTTGAAGGCAGCCTGTTCGCTTCTTGTGCACATGTTTCTCTGACGCTTATAGTCAATAATGATGACGTCAACAGGCTTTGGGTGATTGCCTTCGTATTTGTGAAGTCCATACCGATAATCTCCTAGTGACAAGGCTGTATCCATTGGCCAAGGAGTGTCCATTAGGCCATGTTGATTTGATTATATGGATGACATCCACGCGCGCATGAATTTTCGGCCGTTTCCAAAAAAAAAAAAGTTTTCAACCATACTGTAAATCGTGCAAAACAGTTGCTAAATGAGCAAAAATATACCATAAGTTGCAAGGAAAACATTTAGAAACGATACCAATGTCGTAGAATGCCAAATTCAAAGAAAAAGACAAAAATGTAAAGAAATGAATTCTTAGAGTAGATTATTCGCCATAACATATTCTGTGCCATTTGTTCAACCTTCATGACCACGTAGATTTCATTGTGAAAGCAACTTTTTTTTGCAAAACTTTTTTTTTATTCGCACGCGCGCATCAGTTTTGGGGTTCCCAGAGGATGTCATCCATATAATCAAATCAACATGGCCGTAGCTGCCTTGCAAATTGGCCAATGGATCTACGTGGGGATTACTAGTAGATACCGGCACCTTTTCCAACACGGGGCGGGTGTTGGAGTTGTCACCTCCCACGTTTAAAACGTCATTCACACTCATATGGTCCGGAAAAGTTTATCTCCAGGCAGATCTTTTGCTTGCTGCGTTAGACAGTAGGGGCAATAGTTGAATGTGTTCTCTCAAATTTCTTCAAACGACTTTTCTTATGTATTAAGGCCACACCGACTTAACTTTATGGATGACATCCGCGCGCGCATTAATTTTTGCCTGTTCTCAAAAAAAAAAAAAAAAATATCACGTCCACGGAGGCTCTGGTCTGGCTCTGGGCCTGGGTAGTCAATGGTAGTCAGCGACAATACGGAGGTGGTAACTCTGGAGGATCCACCCAGGCTACCGAAGCTCCACGATTCAAGAACTCAGTGCATACGTACAGTGCCGATTGATAAATTCTGCAAAAAGCCAGCATGTGCCGGCTTGTCGTATATATGTCATTTTGCCGCAAATTCACAAAACCAGCTTTGTATTCCTGTGGTTTAGTAGCATTTTTATTTTTGGCCGGAATTTTTTTTATTCGCCCTCGCGCACTACTTTGGGGGTCTTCAGAGGATGTCATCCATAAAATTAAGTCTGTGTGGCCTAAGAGTCAAAAAGAGGAAACTCGTCTACATATTAGCACTATTTAAAGCCTGAGACAGTTAGCGCTTGTATTTCTGTTTACCACTAGTTCAATGTCGTTGCGGTCGAGTCTAGTAATGGTTCTCTCTATACACAATTGATGAAAGCTGTAAGACTTGGTTTAACCTGTTTTTATTCATGCCTCCTGGCGATAAGCAATATCACTGCAGTCGGCATGTGAGCCACGTTGCTATTGTGGTGGTATGAGGTCTCCGAAGAATTGTTTTCTTACTTGTAACTTTTTATCCTCTATTGGACAATATTGTCTTGTCAATTTGATACTGTCTAATACAGCCACCAAAAGATCCGCACAAAGAAGAGATCAACTTTCCCGGATCATACGAGCCATGTGTGAAAGACGTCGACGTTTTAAGGTGAGAGGTGAAAACTCCTAACACCCGTGTTTGAAAAGGTGTCAGCATCTACTAGTAATCTCCAAGTAGATCCAATGGCCAATTTTCAAGGTGGCTAATGGACACTCCTCTGGCCACTGGTATCTGCGTTGTCACAGTAGG